TGATCAGAGTGACCCCAACTCCTAACCATATATTAAACCCAACCCTAATCCTATCTTTAACCACTAATACTATCCTAACTCCACCCCTAAAATCTAAACCCTAAACCTTGAACCAACAACCTGGACCCAACCCCAACCTTAAGCGCAACTCTAACACCCCTTATGGAAAACTGATCACTAATCCCTAACACTAGCCCCAACCCTAACTCTAACCCTAGCCCTCACCCAACTGCCCTGGCTCCACCTGTGTTCCACTGGTCCACCCTCCCACCTGCCTGAGTTTAGTAGTGGAGGACACACAAGGCAGATGGGTGACATCATCACATCCCACCCTGGACTCTACAGGCCAGCCACACGTGTCCCCACCGAGATCCATGCAACAGCTCTTTCTAAGAGGGTCTGTTGTGCTTTGCAGCCTCACCTACAGGGACACGTCCCAGGAAGGCTCCAGGTTGAAAGCTGGTGCCAGGGGAGCCAGGTCAGAACCATGAAGAAGAGGCTGGAGCTTCTGCACCAGGTGGGCCAAAGAATGGCAGAGTCACAGCCCACTGTAGAAGCCCCACCAGGTCAGTTCATGTTGTGACTTGGCTTCTGAGTGGCCCATGAGCCCTGGGCCTAAAGACCTCTGTCCTGACACTGACGAGCATGTACTATCTGGACAGCATGTAATTTGGGGAAATATTTCTTGGGTGGGTTCTCCAAGTCCATGAAAAACAGATTGACCTCAAGCTGGCAAGTTAATTGAAGGTAAACAAGAAAGTAGGTGATACCATTTCAGCATTTGCAGAAAAGCTTCCAAGATGCAAAAGCAGCTTGTAAAACAACCAAGAAGAGTAACTTAAAAATCTCCATGAGAAAGTGGATCCACTATAAAATGCACTTAGAATGCTTAAGGAATAAAACCAAAAGTTGCTGAAAAATTCATGTTAACTTGGGATTACGGGTTTTTAGGAACATAATAGAAAGCCAGATCTCTGGACACCTTAAAAAATAACATGGAAAATTATGAAATAGTTCCCAAGAAAACGGGACC